ACGCACTCATATATTGCTAGTTTTCTATTAAAAGCGAGTCAAAGTTTCAGTGCAAAGTGTGTTGAAAAGGAGAATGCAACTGCATTACTGACGGGCTCAAATAGAAAGAGAAGCATCGATAATTAACTTGCTTGATAACTGTTCGTCAAAGAATTTGATATTTTATGATATGAACAACAGAAAGTGTTAACTTCAGTTGCACCGAAACTTGAATACACTTCACAGCTTCATATTTTCATTAAACAGATTTTGATCCTTTACTTTGTACGGCAGCTATATAAAAAAAGGATTTCAGATACTGTAGCAATGCTATAATTGTCAGATATAAATGTTTCCCATACAAGAACTTGATGCTAATCGTTCAGTTTGTACGGCAGCTATATTCTATATTAAGCCGATCTGAACAAGCTCCTCGAGGATTACACCCTTAGATAATCATCCGTGCCAAAATTCAAGAGGATATCTCATTAAAAGAAACATTTTTCCATACAAGCATTTATTCAGATCGTTTAGTTTCTATGACAGATATATGCTATAGTAATCCGATTTGATATATTTCTTCAGACATTACGTTACAGGCTTAGGATCTAACCTGGTATGAAATTCGAGAATATACCTCGTCAAATGAAAAAGTTTTTCATAAAAGAACTTGATTCCGATCGTTCAGAGTGAACGGCATCTTTATGATATAGTGGCCCAATATCGGCGGTTTCGACAAATAAGTAGCTTCTTAGAAAGAAAAGGATGTGTGTAAAATTTCAGATCGATATCTCATAAACTGAAGGACGAATAGACCGGCAGCTAAGTCAACCGAATTCATCACCCTGATGATTATTATATTCATATGTTATATAGGGTCTTCGACGTTTCCTTGTGAGTGTTAAAAACATAGTGGCGAACCCTATTCAGGATAGTAAGGCTTCATTGCACTATGAAATCCAAATATTAGGAAAATTTTTGACAAATTATTATATTTTGTATAAAATTGTATACAAACGCGTGTCACTTTGTTTCACTGATAGACTTTGTTTACTCCATAATACTTTTGACTACCAAAGAGCACGCAAATATACGGTTAACAACAAAAGTAAAGCTATTAATTTCTTTACCTTTCCGGCCAGGGTTCACTTTTGAACTTTACGTGCGTCGAAAACTCACATCTTTCACTAACACAACAGTTGCTGAACCTAACGCGCCACAAGTTGCCTGGTTAACTGTAAATTTGCGCAATTGGATGGATCTGTTAGCACAGGAGTCAAGGCAAACTAACAAGATAAGTTACAGTAGTAAACACGTATGTATATACATATTCATTCATGCAAACCAACTCAATTTGCAAGCCGAAGTTGGCGGTGGCAGACACCTTCTGAGAGTTTACTTTGCAGTCCTTTTGGCTTTTAACTGCAGTTCTGCATTATTTCTGTGCCGTAATTCAGTTCATCATGTACCAGTACGGCATGTAAAGTGTACTTTCTGACCTAATATCTCTTGACTAGATCTTGCAAGCAGTTCAAAAGTGAATGTTATAACAAGTGCGACAGCTTAGAATTAAATATTCAATAGCATCAATGAGTGCGAACCACATATTCAGGCTTTATACTTAACCAACTTCCAACCAAATAAAATTTTTTAAAGTACTTCCTTAACACAGCGTCCGAATCATCATGTGCCCCATCAAGATAAATCCGTTATACACGTCGTCGTGAAGTTCCATTAACATTATTGCTTCCCGTCTACAACATTAACTTAACTTTGGTTCCATTTCTTGCGCCGGCTTTTAATTTTTCTCATAAAATAAACACCCAACACACAAGTTTGGCAATTTAATTGTTAACTCCATTACAATTAAGACGAAAACGGGCCATTCGCGCACAAGTTTCATAAAGTTTACCGTCATCACAGTCGCCTGCCCTGGCAGAAAACCCAATAATGTTAACCCGAAATTGTGCTGGCAACTTAAGAAGCAATTAAAGAAAACAATCAAGTGTGGAATGACGCCGGAGAAGCCAACTACTCAGCTGTTTCCTTTCCCATGGACAGCACTTGGCACAAGTTGTTGCCTGGTGAGCCTTGGGCCAGGCGAGTGCCTTGTGATTTTCGACAAGATAAAAAGTTGCTTATGCGCCTCACTTACTCAACAATGTTACTACATGTACAAATACATGTCTGTGTATGTGTATATCGTCACCTGAAATGCAAAATAACGTAACATTAAAAAATTCGAAATTGATTACGCTTCACTACTTTAAATTACATACAAAATATTACATAAGTTCAACATTTTCAGATATTAACCAGTTTTAAACAATATTAAATTCTTTTTTCACTCATGTTCCATTATATTTCGTGTTTTATTCATGCCACTATAAATTTCCGAAAATGTTGTTACGCTATTTTGCATTTCAGGTGACGATATATATTTGTGTAGCTTTGTATGGATAACCAAATGCCCAACAATTAAGAGAACGTATTCTGCGAATATTTTCCTTGCGATCTAGTGAATGTTGCTGATTTTAAGGTTGACCTCAAATATCACAAAAATAGATTATTAGAGTAGATACATAACCTCACTGTCCACTGAAATTATATTAAAAAAAAAGTTATTTTTAAAACTGCTGCTTCTCAACTAACCTCGACGACCTTTATTTAATTTTAAAAGAAAATTCTAAATTAACTTCTGAAAAATAAGTAATCTCCGGAGCAGTGAGCCGCCCTAATGTAATTAAGGTACATACATTGTTACACACTTGAAAGCATGCATGCGCGTGTGTCTTTTGCTCGAGCGGTTATAAATTGAGGTTATAATGTGAGGAGAGTGTGTGTAGTTAGCGAATACAATGAACTCACGGCGGGGTAACAGTAAATATTTGAAGGTTCACAGTGCTACCGGAAAATTACATTTCGCAGGAAAATAAAATCCCTCATAATAGGCTTACACTGACCAGTTCTTGCGATAAACGAAAAAAACAAGCAAGGCAACAGCATGACCCAGCAGTAAATCGGACCGCCTACACGCTAGCTGCCTTACGCGCGGACAAGACTCGTCTGCAGCGCGCTTTGCTATGACTTGACGCTGCCTAGAACACAGAAAAACGCTGATGAAGTTGAGGCAGCTGAGGACCTGCTGCTCACAATTCAGTGACTTCCAAAGTCCTTGCGACTTTTTCGTTAAGAAGTTGCAATGCATCCATTTCACACCGGTTTGGCAACACCATTGACAACAGCAGCATATGTCTGCGTACAATCATTTATTACGTCTCTTTGTAGGTACGTCTAAGTACATGGATAGGCTTTTATGGCGATTTCAGCACGCATAGCTGAATCGGCAACATATTGTTGTGCCATGCAGTTGATGCTTTACAGCCACTTAGTCGCATAGGCTTACACACTTGCATGAGCATGTGTGCGCTAAAGCGCGCCTAACCTGCAAGCAAGATGCGTTTCCGCCCAGCCTACCAACATCAGGGACATTTTAGTGATTTACGATGCTGACCCTCGTGCGCCGAGTGCTTAGTATCAGCCGCATGGCATCCAGATAAGCAGCCAGACACGCTGTAGGAGTTGGGGCACCTTGCTGTTTCCTATTATAGATGCTAAGATTTATTTCATAAGCTTGTACTAAGCACACATGGGTAAGTGTGTATCCAAACGCCATAAGATAAGCGTAAACGGTACACCATATGCAGTGCTTTGAGGGTCACGCTATTTCTTTGCACTGAACAATTATATGAACAAGCATTTTACTTATCATAAGAAAGGTTTATTGAATTCAATTATATCTTTTTGAAGGAATATTAAGTTGTGGGGATTGGAAATACCCGCGATAGTAATCTTGCTAATAGTAAGAAGCCTAGAAAAAATCAATTCTCTAAAGTAACCAGATTTAGGGTTACCATGCGCCTTAAATTGTTATTCTAGTCTAGAAAAAAAATTTTTTTTTTCAAATTTTAACTATTCAAGAATATGTTTACAAGAGAATTTTTAAAAATTGGAATTTTGTTTTCAGTTTCCCGGCTTTTTAATAGTGACAATCCATTATTGTTTTATTTTTCAGATAGAAAATATGACGAAGCTGAAACGACCTTTTATTCATCCACTTCAAGGATGCATAACAAAATGAAAAATATTTTTTGTTTTGAAATTAAATTTTTATGCTCTTTCCTCGCCGCCGCGAATGGGAGACACCCGTGTGTAAACAGCGGATACAGTGAAATATCCAAGGCTTTCATGGAAGCCGAATATCGAAAAGAGAGCAAAAAAAGGCATCGATTGCCTTCTAGTGCTGTTGGCAAAAGGTGGGTTCCCTCACCGAAAGTAGAGGAGAGGGGCAGTGAGCACCTTCACGGATGGTTCAAAGTTGGTCTACAGTCTGGCTGGTCGAAGAGTGCTACCTCGTTATCAATAGCATCGAATGCATTTGTCATAATGCTGGTATGGGTGCCAGACTACAGCGGAATTGCAAGCAACTGTAAAGCTAGTAGCTAGTAAGGAAAGGAACCCTAGAGCCATTATTGGTAGAATGGGAGCCAATAGGTGCTCCCTTAACCTCTTGCTGTCTACCATTAATACGCTGGGCTTCGCGGAAGCTTGGTGAGCGCTGGGACACAATCGGTACATGCGTAGTCATAAAAGCCTTTTGGCAAAAAATCGATGGCTAAAGATCGGATGATCTCTTTGTGCTTAGTAAGGCTAGCCTCTGGTTCTATTGACGTTCACGCAGTAAGGCTGATAGTCCTACTGGACGTTATCTGCAGAAACTGCATGCAAGAAGATGAAGTGAAAACGACTCAACACCGCCTTCATGACAGTCCGCCTTTGGGACAAAAAATATCAAATGTTCAAACCTCAAAAATGCAAACCTCTGGAATCGAATTTCTTCTTAAATCTTTCTTCCTGTAAGGATAAATTCAAAACCTTCCAATTTACAAGAACGCCTGACTCATATCGCCTTAAAGTCCTATCTTTGAGCATTTAAATCGGCTTGAGTTCTCCGCACTTACCTTTAATGAAATCAACCGCCATCTCCAGCCCATACGTGTCCTTATCGCAATCGTCCAGTATGTGTGCGCCTAACGTTACATTCGGCAACAATTGCTGCTTATTCACCTGGTCGAGTGTGTAGAGCATGGCCTCGAGTGCTTGTATGCCACCTTGCGGCATGATAGGACCACAAGTGATGCTATCCTCGCGTGAGTGGACCATCATCAAGCCGCCGAGTATGACGTCGCCCTCCATCACCGAAGCGTGTTTGACGGGCCAAGCAGCGCCGCCTGGTGTGGCAGTAGCACCGATTGTTGGTGTAAGCAACGCCGGTATTGTGGAAAACAGTGCATACTCCGTTGCAGTACTCGTTACCGTGGTTAGGGCTGCGAAATTGGGCAACACGAAGATTGAAGTGTCCGTCGTCGTGGTCGGCATGTCATTTATCGTCACATTTGCCGCTATCGCCGCTTGTAACACAGATTGCACTGGCACTTTGGTGTACATTGCATCGGACACCACTGCAGTTGGTGTTGTCATTGCTATGACGTCGTTTGTTGGTGCTGCATTCACGGATATTAGCGGCGGCATGACGGCCCGCATAGTAGCAGTTGGAATTGAGGCGGTTGCGCCAACATGACCGGCACCTATTTCGGCGGAGTTGAAGGTAGTGCCGGTGTATTTGTGATTACTTTTGGTTGTGAGCTCTGCCGCATGCCATTCCATATCTTCAGGTGTCGTCCCTGCTGTTGTAGTCCTTTCCAATATTTGCTTAGTAGTTGTGGCGTAGTGTCCTTCCTCTCCATTGACATCAACAGATGTTTTTTGTGTGGGTGTGTGCGTTGTGATGTTGCTGGCAGCCGATGTAGCGTCGCTATTCAGAGCGTGAAAACCTCCGCCGAAATTATCTCCTGTTTGATTGGAAAATGTTGTTGGCGTAAAGCCATACTCGTGCCCAGCCACCGCCGTCAAGTTAACGGCTTTATAATCGCGTCCTTCTGGCAGCTCAGCCCTTTCTATTTGCGCGGCGTGAGCGTTGGCCTTTTCATTTTGACTGGCTTCGAAATCTCCCTCTGCTGTTACCCTTTCGCGCCACTCGTTGGCGTTCGAGTTGTTTCGCATTGTGTTTTCCGCTAAATGCGCTGGGCGCGGGCTCATTGTTTCCGTTGTCATTGTGGCTGGTGTGCTGCTTTTAAACGGTCCCTGTATTGTCGATTTTTCGCCTGCATTCCACTCACTTTCCGCCTCCACAATCGCTTTTCCATCCGCTGCCAATAGCGTGTCATTCAGCTTCAGCGCTTCACCCGTTCGCTGGTCGGGCCGACGTATGTAAGCCGTTAAGAGATTGTGCTGCTGCTGCCACTCCGCAACGGTCTCACCCTCAGCGCGCCCAGCATAGTCGGTGTGTGGCAAGGGCAAAATTGATTTGCTCTGTTGTTGCTCAGCCATAGCGTGAGCACCATTCAGGCGTGCTAAATACTCGTTGTCAATCCCTTCCGCGCTTACAGGCTGCTGTGCGCTTTCGTGTGCTCTGTCTGCTTTTAACTCATCAAATGGCGGTTCATTGCCATTATGCGCTGGCTGTTCGCAATTATCTGGCTTAGTTGCTGCAGTTGTCGGTGCTTGCGCCACTTCGATCTGTGCCGATTTCTCTGTTGCTGACGTTGACGCGCTTCGCTGGACTTTTATAAGATTTAACATTTCTGGCTCCGCGTTCTCTTCCTCTGACACATTTTCACTGTTTCGCCTTGGGGAGGCATGGGATTTGTGCGCCTGTGTTCCTTGCATTTCCCTATTACTCAAACTATTGTTTATTGATATTTCAAAAGCTGGCATTTCTTCTGTGTCAACGCCATGTTTATCCGCCATCAATCGCTGTCTCACATCTACTCTTTCTACCATTTCCTCAGACAACAGCAGCTTTGAACCGTTAAGCAAATTACGTCGGTTTTCAGCAACGTGCGCGTCTCTTGCGACATTTGACGCGATATTTGTCATATGTAGGTGCTGTATACCACCCATTACTCTAGATTTATTTGCTTGACGTTGTCCACTAAAGTCAGCCTTGCTGACATCCACGTCTTGTTGCGTATCAACTGGCTGCTGCTCTGCTTGTTTGCCCTCTAGTCCAGCAAGCCGCATTGCTGTCGGTACTTTATTCCACTCAACCGCCGGCCATCTATTCAGGGCAACCACTGTCGCATTGTTGTCTCGGTTGTTTGCATACTTCAAGGCGCGCTGCTGTTCCTCAGGCATTTGTCCTTCCCTCGGCTCATTGTACGCTGCATTTTCGCTTGTACTTGCTGCTTGTTTAGCCATGCTATCGGCTATCGTGTGCTCAGCGTCTGTTTGCTGCCTTAAGTTGGCCTCCGCTGTTGACTTGTCGACTTGAAGCTGTGCAATTTTCTTTGGCATTGTACCGCCACTTGAAGTTATTAATATTTTGGCACTTTTAGCGCCACTATTTTTATCTTTTACAAGGTTGTCTGTTGCGACCGTGATGGGTTCGCTTAAACTTGTGCATGCCCATTTCTCGGCGCGCGTTGCTGAAAGCTGGATTTGTAAATTCGTTCGCTCTGCATTCTCTGTCTCATTACTAGCTACTTCCAGCTGCAGCCCGCCTAACTTTCTCTGCCTTTTTGCAGCGCTTGCGTCTTGCGTTGCATCTGTAAGAAGTTTTGCTCTACTGCTTGCGGCTGCTTGCTTATGACTGCCAAACTGCTTGTTCCTTCCTGCATCTTCGCTCAGCGCTGATTCTTGTTGTAATAACGAAGGTCCTTTGTTTGGCTTCTCCGCTAATTTGCCGCTTTCCATTTGTGCGACTTCCGTATTCAATAGCGCTTCCGCTTCACTAAAGCTTTTACGTCCAACTACGGCGCTCCGCGTTTTCCCCTTCTTCGTTGTTTGCTGGCCTGTCAGCTCTTCGAAGAAGCCGCTTTTGGGTCCTAAGTGCTCGCTTTGTTGTTGCAACTGCTGCGCGTGTACGTTTAAGCCTTGCGCTTGTTGCTGTGGGCGTACTAAGTGCATGGCTTGCCCTAAGTACCTTTGCTGCCACGTCAGTTGGCTTCCACTGAATGACTTTTGCGGTTGTCGCGCTTGTTGCTCACCTTGCACAATGGCCCCTAATCGCTTCGAGCATTTTGTTATTTTACAGTCCTCCTGGGCAGATTCCAGTGCTTGTTGTGCTTCTGCAGCCAATTCGCCGGCATCGTTTTGCCTCGCGCGCTCGTGTTTTGCTTGCTCATGTCCTGTCATCAATTCAATTGTCATGGCTGTGGAATCATTCTTTATCTGCTTATCGCATGTCACTGACTTTGCATTTTTATTGATAGAATTCAGCTTTACATTTAAAACCGTCAGCGGCGTTAAGCGCCTTTCAGTGTTGTTATTATCCTTGCCGCGCCGCACCTCGCCGCCTTCGCCCTCAGTATGCAACCCATTTGGCAATTGTTCAGCTGGCGGGTTCTGAGATTGAATGGCAGGCGGTCCATTCCCACGCGCAGTCTGCTGCAGGAGCTGAGTTGGCACGCTGTCAGTTCTAAAGTCACTTTTAGCTGGATAATCCGCAGTTGTTTGCGAGACAAACGCTGTCCTCGTTGCCACCGCCGCTATGCTGAGCGCACTCGTCGCATCGCTGTGGTCGCTTTGAAATTGCGTTGAAGTGAATTTCGTTTTGGAATTTATGTTATTTATTTTGCTTTTGACTGAATTCGCCCTCGCATGCTCAGCGCCAGTCAGAACTATTTCTGCAGTGGGGTTTACTTCACGCATTGTGGTTGGTATGCGAGTTGCCCGCATAACAAATTGCAGCATTTGTGTGTTGCTGTTATTGGTTACCTTGGCGACTGAGCTAATTACAGCGTCATCGTCCACACTATAATCAACGCCATCATCGCCGTCAGCAGAAAGTTGGTCTTCAGCGTGCCGATCAACTGCGCTAAGCCTGCTCACCTGCGCTGTTGTAGTTGCAGTTGTTGTTTGCGTGGTAAGGGATGCCATTTGATTGTTGCTGGGCGTGCTTCCTTCAATACGTCCGCTCAGCGCCGTTCCCTTTAACTCCTTTTGATAGCCATTTATGCGCTTTGTGTTGGCAATTATTGGTGTTTGTTGTTTTTGTTCACTTTCTGCTGATTGCTGTGGGTGAGTAGCATTTGCGCGCTGCTCTATGCGCTCAATTTCCGCTTGATGCCGCTTCCCCAAAGGTCGCACATCAATTGCTTGCCGCCACTTAGTTGCACTACCATTGCTGTTGTTATTGTTGCTGCCGCCATTAGTGTAGCTGTCGTATGACGCCATATAGTTCGTTGTTACAAGTTCATTACTGCCAGTTGTTGTTGACATTCGCAGCACTTTGCTGGGGACGCGGTGGCGCGTAGTTGTAAAGTTTCGCACAGTTGCCGCGGTTGGCCGCCGCAGTGACGCGGTTAAAAATGTTTGCAACCTTTGCTTTTGTGGTTGCATTTCGCTTGCATTACGCGCTAATTGCTCAACGCGGTAATTTATCGCAGCTGCGCCCATTTGCTGCTTCAGCGCGCGCCTTTTGCCTGCAACATCGCCTTCGAGCGCCAACGTGCCCCCTTCAGCGCTGGCGTCATTACTATAATTCAGCTGCGTTGCTGTTAACAAATCAGTTGCGCGCGCTTCCCACGCTGACACCTTATTTTCTGCACTAATTACGTTTGATTTATGAGCTACATTTGAATGCAGTTGCAGCGTGTTCTTAGCGCCAGAGGTGGTAATGCCAGCTGCTGCGTGTGCGCCTTCGCGCTGCTGATTAACTCCGGTCCCTTGGCTGGCAGTTTCTGCTGTTGTTATGTGTAACGGAAGTAGTAATATCAACATTGTCGTTATGGTGATCATTTTAGCGAAGGTTTGTCGTCGCGTTGCACTTGGCAAATTGCTGCTTCCTCCACTAACTCGGTTGCATGTTCTCATTATGTGGAAGCACAGTGCGCAGCAGCGGCGCGTCATGTGAGAAGCGTCTGTTGCGTGCAGGCGTCGTTGTGCTTGTCGTTGTTGTAGCGTAAGTCTTGGAAACGTTTTCTCGGCGCTGGATTGTTGTAAGTCACTGGCTGTTGCATGCAGCAGATTCTGGTAGACCGCGAGAGGGCTAGGTTTTTTGGATTATTGCTTCAGTGAGATTAGCGCCGTTGAGTTTTATACAAAATTTGTTAGACTTCTTTACAAATCACAACCCTTTTTGCTGGTTTTGGCTTTTAACCACTTTATCCTCAATTGACGTCCCCGATTGCCTTCAGCCCGTATTCATCTACAAATGAGAAGTGAAAAAAAAAATTTTTTCTATTAGGTATGTTAGCCATACTTATTATGATAACTTGATTTATAACTGCAATAATCACACATTAATTTTTGGAATAGATAACTACAGGGTTTATCCGGAAATTAATAGGACTGATTGTCTTCCGCCGCAACTTTACTTCGGAGTCTGCGCGCACCATCTGCATTCGGTAGAGGGCGTTCCTAGCTAACGAACGGGCGGCTGATCAATTGTCTCCAACCACCTGGAGAGTTAAGACAAACATTTTTGAATTTGAAGACCTTGCTGGGAGATCTGCGACCACAACACTATACACTGGTTTAAATTTATTTTGCATCTGTGATGTTAGATACTATTTTTTGTTTCTTTTAAGTTGCTAAAACAATCGAGACCATAGTACATGCATAATTTATTTATAATTCTTCGGTTTCTCCATCTATCCAGCATTCCACTTTTACTCAACTCAACTCACAACTTCTTCCAAATGTAAGATCCTTAGATCCTTGGAACTCCTCTCTCTCTACTCTAGCTGTTATTTCATTGTTGTTTACCTCCTATACTCCATATAATTTATTAACTGGAGCAAGAAGATAAACATCTCTTCAACCCACATTTTCCAACATAAATTTACTACTTAGCTGCGGTCAGCAGATACTTAAATTTTCAGTCAGTTACGCGTAATCGCCGAACGCCCGACTAATAGCGGATGCAATAATCGTAATAATAATTATAAGGACGATAATGCGATTACCGATGACGGATGCGCACAATTTAGCAGCTGGCAGCTGGACTTAACCGTTACTTAAATGCGCACACAACGCCGATAAGCGCAGACGGAAACATAAAGCGGCGCGTGTGTGTCCATAAGTACGAAATAATAACAATAAAGCGGTGTGTGAGCAGCATTTGCCATTTAATTGTAACTTTTGAACTTGCGAATTAATGGCTATGAAACATTTAGATTGGAAGGTACGGCGCGCAAGCGGAGGGTATAACGAGCGGAACACCATGTGGGAATATTTATATTTTATGAGCTTTTAAGCGACTGAAAATGCGCATTTCAGGTGTTTATGACGGCATGGTCGGAATGTAAAGGAAGACAAAGTATATTTATTGCCAATTGAAATTCCCTTTGTGATGCAAATACAAAGCTTTAGTAAAATCTATTTTAGAATAAAAATAATACTGATGATGTATTGTGGTCTCAAAAACTTTTCAGATTCAACTCAAAAATGTTTAGTTCTTCTTTCGAACAGTATCCGTCGAAAGGCTAAAAATCTTGGAAAAAGATTTTTGAAACAGAAAATGAATCATCAGATCGTCTGCGAATCTGGAGACATAGCCAAAACAGACATTGGCTCAACTTAAGCTAACTTAGCCCAACACAAACTGAGTGTCGACGAATTTAAGTTAGGCTCTAGGGACTTCGGCGATTTGTAAGGATCTTATGATTCAGTATATATCAGGCGTTTAGCTGCACTAATAATCACAAACAACAAAATTTTCAACTCGTTAACTCACATTCGATTTTCCTACTGGGCATTAACAGCAATGACCAAACGCCTGGACGAACGAAAAGCTGCGGCGCTAAACACAAGCATGTGCGAGAGCGCGCGTGTTCAAACGAAAGTGAACAGCGAAAAAATTCTAAATTCAAGGTAACACACAGTCAGCAAAATGCTTTCAAATGAATATCAACGTCATGGGAGCGAGGCATGTTGAGCGCGCGCGTTGAGTTTGGGTAATGACGCGTGTAGCTAGCGGA